CCCCCCCGCATCCGCCACTGAGGAGGAGAGCCTTGGCTGAGTGGGTGTTCGGCAGTGGGAACCCGTCCACACAAGCGGGTGGCTGGAGACGGAAAGAGAGAGGGGAGAGCCGAAGGTCCATTCCTGTCACTGCTGTGTCTGCAGGAGGTAGACTGAGTCGGACTCGGCGGCTTCCGGTCGGCTACTACGGGCGCTTCACATACCTTGTCAGTTGTTGACGTCACTGCGCCTGCGCGGCTCCTCGTCTCGTCCTCAGTGCGCTTGCGTGGAAGAAGATGACATAGTCTCTGAAGCTCTTTTCTGTGCCTGCGTGCCCATCAGTGAGCTTTGAAGTGGTACGGCGGACCTGGGCTCGTGTGCCAGCAGAAACGGCCCCACGTGCCCACTCTGGCACGCGTGCCATAGGTTCGCCACCACTGTCCTAAGACTTTATCAAGCTTTTGTTACCCCTAACTAGCTGTACATAAAAAAATATCATTAATACAAAAAGTGTTAAAAAATGGTTAATTTTTTAAAACATTTAACTAAAAATGATTTTATTTTTAAAAAAGTGGGAGTTACATCACCCCAGCATGGCCAATCAAGGTGGACGAAGATTCTGAACCCAGAAGAAGACTGGGCAAAGATGTGAGAGCCGACGAGGGAACCTTGTGCATGTCAAATTGCTGGAGAGGAGGCGAGTATTGTTCCCCTTTAAAGAAAGTTGGATTTGTCCCCCAAAAAAACAGTATATTCCATGTATCACAAGTAACAAAAAAGGTATTATTGCTCATCGAATATGCCCATACAGGAAACAAGAAAATAGCTCTGGAGGATAACTGGTTAATAAATAAAAATTTACAAAAATATTACCACAAAAAACTGCATTTCACATTGCTCCAGATGCTGATATAGTGAAAACACACATAACAATAGATCCATAAAGTGCAATGCAATACCAAGAATGTGCAAGAAGATACTGAACATTCAATAAGCACATATACACTTTAGGCATACCACAAAGTTTTAGAAAGTTTTAACACTTAACATATCAAGCAGACACAAACAGGGAAAAGTGGATGGTAACGTGATCTTGCAAGATCCTAATGTAATAGCAACAGGTATTTAACCAAGCTTTTACCACATTTAGATGAAAGTCCTTAGCCATAGCTACTTAGTGCACCAAGAAGTAAACGTGGGTGTAGTTGGGGTTACAGCAGATAACCCTTTGTCCTTTGCCAGCTAATATTATTGTTGTTTTAACTGTAGATGACCACATACCCCACAGAAGAAGATGAAATCAGGGGCTAGGGAAACCACCAACCATGTCAAGCACACTGAAGGCCTGCCAGTGATGACCAAAATAAATGTGCAACTGGTATGTTTTTGGCCCTCTAGCAACTTCAGCGCAAAATTATAGCTATTTTGCCTACAAACGTCAGGTGGTCATAATAATCTGGCCACTCAGTGTATAAACTGCCTTAATAGAACAACAGTTTAAACCTGGCAGAAAGGGTGGGGGCTATAGCTCTAGGACCCATAGTAGCAATAAGTGATATTTGTAATTAAATGTAAATTTTTAAATGTCATTTTAGAACCAGATAGGTTAGGTACAGTACTATCAAACAATCTTACCCGTCCATTACTGATCACAGCCATTTGTCCAGGTAATAATCTGAGAACTTCACGGCAATATAGTTCCTGGGTCAGAAGTATGTCCAAACCAAGTGTATTATACTTTTTCTCAAAGGTATCACCATCCATTTCCTGAAGAAAATATGAAGCATTGTAAAGTAATAACAAATGTTCATAACATACTGCTAGAAAATAGAAGCAGTCTTTAGAACAAAGCAGTGCAGATATACAACCTATTGATAAGGACCTCAAATTATTATTATTATACAGGATTTATATAGCGCTAACAGTTTGTGCAGCGCTTTACAATATAAGGAAGACATTACAATACAATTCAAGACAAGATGTTGAGGGCCCTGCCCGTGACGGCTTACAATCTAAAAGGGAGGGAGAAGTGATACATGAGGAGGTAGATGTGTGGGGATGAATTGTTTGAGAATGTGATGGTTCAGTGGTTAGGTTGAGGTGGTATAGGCTTGGATGTTTTTAAAATCAAATGTGCAACAGATTTTATTTGGAGATAATTCTTTTAAAAACCCAGAACACTGAAATTAGGAGAAACTCAATGGCATGCCAAGACCAAAACGTATAATGAAGATTTAGCACCAATGTGCGTAATCCTTGTTGAATTTAAAACCCCTATTCTCATGCTAGAATATATAAAACATAAGGGGCACACTTGGTTCATATTCTATTAAATTCTATAGCAGAATCGGTATAACTAAAAAGACTGTTCTTCCCAAGATACTTTATGCACTTTGGAAATATCCAGTTTTTCCTGCACAAAGTTTTTAAAAGACTGATATATGCCCTAAATTAGGATGCACATTCTTTAAACCTACTATGTTGTACTTGTCTATTAGTGTTTGGTTATAAATTACACTAAAAAGGCCTCACAAATGTATTCCCTATACCACTGGTTAAAAGCTAATGTTGTGCTTTCATAAAGTAAAGCTGTAGGCAGACTCCAAAGGTTTACTACCCAAGCTTGATGGCTTTATGCTGGATCTCTTTATATGTAGAATACTACGAAAGCCCTAAATACCAAGTTACTCTGATATCCACCTTCTGTAAGCAGTGATAAACCATGATGTCATACATGTTAGGAACAAACACAGGAAAAATAAAATACCTGTAACTTGTGTGTCTACCATAACTTGTCATATTTTTGTATTGCAATGACATTGTAGTCAAGTGAGTTTCACTTCTCATCTGCTCTAGCATAGTTAATTTTTATAGTTGTATGTTTAATGCTCTTAAATAAACCCCCTTTCCGTTTACAACTTTAAATAAAAGATGCCTTAAACAGATTACACACCCAGTAACGACTGAAAGGAGATGTATCATTGAATTAAACGGCAAGATAATATGTTCCAGTTTTAATCTATATGTAAATTCAGGAAATGACTTTATATCTAAGTTTTGATTGGCAAGAAGAAGTCCTTCAGAACTCTGATTAGCATTTGTATTGAGAAAGGGTCAGGGACCAGAAGCAATGCAGAATACACAATTTTTGTCTACTAATTCATGAAGTATTCTAGCTACTCATTTGTGAAATCAATTCCATACTTAGACTGTACAGCTTGGATTTTACATATCTTAAAAGCAATAAACTTATATTAGCTGTGGGCATTCCTTAATATGTTTGCATATTACATTCTTAACAGAAATAATATGTGCTTGAAAGAAAACAGCATTAAATATTAAAAAGGGAAAGTGCACAGACTTTTTTTTTTTTTTTAAAGTAATGATACTTTCAAATGTTTTTGTATATTGGTTTATCCCAGGTGAATACCATCTTTATTTTCCATTAGAAGTAGAGCAGTGGGGGTCAGTAAACTAGAGAAGCTGAGCCTAGTCTATGTAACTATACACATACACCATCTGCAGTAAAACAGTGGCCCTTTACTCATCACACTGTATTCGGTGTACATACATGGTGCAGATTAATGGTCAAATTAAGTGGTTTTGGAGCTAGCTGGTCTCTTGGCCGAAAAAGTAACTAACCCACACAAATTTGAATTGCTAATTTAGGTGGGTATTATGCAACTTTTGCACCAAACACTTTTTAGATTCAACACGAGTATAATACAGCTGGAAGATAGAAGGAAGGTAGAGACATATTGCACATGTCTATGACTGTCCATCCCAACTCATGCACCAAAGCAAGCCGCCCACCCTTAAAGTGCACCTGTACTCAGACTATTGACATTAATGGCACGTTAGAGCAATCAATCATTAAAGTTCCCAGCAGCTCAGCTCAAAAAATTGTAAAAAGTGTAAAAAAATAAAGAAAAATAATGTAACTAAAAATAAATGTAACAAATTAAAATGATATATTTTAATACTATCATTTATATAATTCCTAATAATAATAATTTATCTAAAAATTAACCCCTTACAATAAAATTGGATTTTTTTTCCCCCCCAAGGGGTTAATATTTTTTTAACCCCCTCATGACAGCGATGCTCAAAGTATGTCGCTGTCACCTAGTGACACTTAGTGACGGCGACATTGTATGCCAGATGACCACTTTTAGCTTCTGGAGAAAAAAAAGATTAAAATGTTAGGTTTTAGTTTTAGGCTGAGAAGTACAGAAAAATGTCTAAAATCCTAGGAATGTGAGGTTTTTCCAAATAAATGAATGTATTTATTACATTTTTTTAAGCTGGGCTGTTTTTGTAAAAAATACTAAAAGTCAAAACTGGGGAACAGGTGTTTTCTTCACGTTTTTTCCTCTTTTTTTATATTTTATTTGTCGTAAGTGAGGCGTTAGGTACACATATGCAATATAAATATATAGCCCTATCTGTCCTCTAAAAAACAACATATAATATGTGTGGGTGCACTTTGTAAGAAAGTATATTACCGACGTGGAAGAATCGCACTGCAAAAATGTAAAAAGTGCATCAGTCATTAACGAGCATTAACTAAAAAGAAGCTCAGTCATAAAGGGGTTAAAGAGGCCATGTTACCAGACATGATATCAAAATTTGTTACTGCATAGAAACATAGAATTTGTGTACTCACTGTAAATCCTTTTCTGTGCATTCATTGAAGGACACAGCTGTTCAGAAGATCTTGACCAATGGCAATTAAGTAGTTGACTGGATAACAGGCTGGATATATAGATCCTAGTAGTCCCCCCAGTGTGGCCTGTGAGTGCATGCAGTAAGCGGGATCGGCTGTAATGGCTCTACATCTGGGGACCGTCTTGTTGGAAGTTTTTTTTACTTCTCCTCTGGTGTTGTATCGGACAGGTCAGTTCCGTCACAGTACCATTTGTTTCCTGGCCTGTGGTGCCCAGACTGCGGTCAGCAGCATTTTGCTTCTTCCTACGGATGTCCTGATGGGGTAAGTGTTTTTTCCCTGTGGGGACAAGCTGTGCTGCTCTCTCTCGACAGTGGGATTACAGCTACGCCCTGGTCCTAGGACTCCTCAGCAGCTGCAGTGCTCTAGGTTCTACTGCCTGTTCTGCTGTGCTTGCAGGCCGCAGTGGGTGGACTTCCAGGAGCTATATATCCAGCCTTGGCTACTTGATTGCCATTGGTCAAGATGTTCTTATCGGCTGTGTCCTTCAATGAACATAAGATAAAAGGCAGTAATATTATCCACTATTATCCTCACTATAAAATGAAACTTTTTGGGGACTTACAAGTGGTGCATTGATTTTCACTTTCTGACACTTTAGGGTGTGTTGGACTTTTGTGTCCTCCACTGTTATGCAACCCAGGACTGGGTACCTCCATTTAAAAGAAGGAAGAGTCACAATTACAGTATATGTGTCTACTTTTTACTAACATGTGAATAATTCTTTACATACAGTAGATCACCAGAACCCCTGACCAGAAATAAACACATTATCACACAGGATCAGAAATTGGATTTTAATGCAGTGTGTAAGTTGGTGTGCAAGAGTCATATTTTCTTTCTTGGTATTTGAACTACAAACTCATTTCTACTTGTGCATAGTAGAGAACAAATGTTTCTCTGTACAAATCAAAATGCCTTCAGCTTCTTTCCTGGGGGAGAGTGGAATCGCTGGGTTTAATTTAAATTGCAGGTATGTCTGCACCCAATATACACACATTGTGAGAGAACTCACACAGCAATAAAATGTCTGCTTACCGAAACAAGGAACTCTTTGATTTTATGCCCTTTAGTAAGTGCATCCACTGTCTCTTCTTTTGAAAGCTTTGTGAAAAATGTCAGCATGTTCTGGCTTTTCTGTGTAAGCAAAGCAGCCCATATTGCACGTGATATCAAAGTGTTATCTTCAGTCATCTTGGAGGTGGGATTGTTTAGGATACCAAGTCGAGCAATGCTGCTTTTTTTCTAACATAAAAGGAAAAAGAAAGCATTTAGCAATGCAAAATGTTAGCAAATAGTGATGTCCCCTAATATAAATTGAACTGAAAATAATATTGGGCATTTCAGTTACTTGTTTAACTTACTTGCAATACAAATAGATAAACAGTACATTGTGTGGCTACAACACGTAAAACATGAAGACATAGTTAGGAAATTCAGCTGTTGGTATTTAACAAAGCATTAGAATGGCCTTACTTGGTTGAATGGATTTGTAGGTTCTCCCTCTACAGGTTTGACACACTTATGTAAAAGAGGTGCTGAGACAAAACTATTACAATCAAACACATAGAAAGCATATTGTTGTTCATAAAAGTCATGCTTAATTTGACTACATAGTGAAACCTTGGCAAATGCCACAGTGAAGGGACCGGCACAGCATGAAAGCATACAGTAAGAACATTTATTGCTCAATGAACAAGAAAGTACATATGTACATGACAGAGTTGGCTTTGTGCATTACAAGAACATAATTATATGCCACTTATATGATGTATAAGGCAGTAATAGATTATATCTCATATTGCCCATCATGCTGGCTGCATATTACATACTGGGCTATACAGAGTTAGGCCCCGTTCACATAGAGCAATTTATCACGCGGTAATTCCCGCCATATCGCGGCAATTTACCGCGCGATATCGCTCTCCAATGCTTCTCAATGGGGCAAAGGGTCCTGCTTTCGCGTGTCGTGTGTCACTACAGCAGGACCCTTTTTGGAGCGGATTTAGCCGCGATTCAAGCTTGCTCAATGCAAGCATTTGCGCGACAAACGCGCGATTTGCGAACCGCTCAATGTGAATGGGGCCTTAAGGTGGAGATAAACGGCTAATAGTGACTGTGCATTATATATGGGAAATGTAGGTCTGTCATGCTAAAAAAGTTATACGCTATATTCTATACAATAGATCAGGGCCAAGTGCGGTAATATACTTTTTAGAGTTAAATGAGCCTAAATATTATAGACAAAACATGGTGAGGATATATAGTTGGATTGCACACAAAGAACCATTGATGATTAAAAAGCATTACAGTTTTTAGAAAAAAAACAGTTAATAGTTGTTTGCGCATCTGAAAAATATATTGTGAAGACATTAGGTAGATGAGAACATAACTTGCCAGCACACCATAGATCATTATTAACGGCTAAACATTTATTCAAGCGATTACACCACAAAGAGTGTTAGTGCAAAGTTTCAAAGCCGCGCAAGAACCCTTTTTGTCAGTCATGTGATCGAGGTGTCTTTCACAACCTCAAAACTCTGCCTGAACACGGTTTGTGATGTGACTGCTTTAATAAACGTTTGGACGATATTTAAGGATCTATAGTGTTCTGGTGACATACTGTATTTTTTGTCTGCCTAACTCAGTAACATACTTCTCTATTTTTTAAATGTGCAAACATCTATTTTAACTGTTAATGTTACATAGGTCGAAAAACGGTAATGCTTTCTAATCTTTAATCATTCTTCATGTATAATCCAACTATATAACTGCCTACCTGACCCATTGTTGTAAACAATAATTGCTACAGCACCCCTTTACTCCAGGTTTTTTCAAGGAACGCGTATGATTGGAATTTATTTAGACACATTAGGCCAGGCGCATAAGTGTTGCCCCAGCACAATACAGGCTGTGCTAGGATTATTTTAGCACATATAGCATTAAAGTAAAAGGATGTCACTTGTAAAGAAAATAATGAAAAAAGCCAAATTAGGCTTTAGAAATAATTATGGGCATAACTAAATATAAACTGGCAGTAATTCAGTGTTTGTAAAGCATAAAAGAGGAATGCAGTAATCTGCAAAGCTCAGACAAAATAGCCTTTAACAAGTCACGTTCTGCTTAATATATATTCAGTACTAAAGAAAAAAGCTCTTTGAACCGCAAATGAAACCTGACATTGTCTAGAGCCAAAGATACTACAAAGTTTTAGCCCCTGTGGTATGAGTCTAAGTAATAACATTAAACTTTAGGCCTACTGGTCTGCAGCACTTGTAATTCAGTGTGACATGCTTGTTGCTGCCGGGGTCACAACAAAGGATATATTTTACACTGGACTTAGTGTATCTTACAAAAGAGATGACAACATGGCACAAAGTTTAAGGTGCAAAATGTAATTTTGCCTTTATCTTACTAAAACTAATCTCCTTGTGTTAATGTTGATGTCTAATAATCCTGACCTCGTGAAGCTTACTTAGGACAAATTCTTGGCAGAAACCCTGCATTTTCCTTAATCTAGCAGGCTATGAAGTGTGATAGCAGAGAGAAACGACAATTTGTTTTGAATATATTAAGATGCAGCTTTCTAAAAACAATTTCAGGTGCAATAAAGGAAGTGATCCATAAGCTTGTGAAGGCTTTCAAATAGAAACGCTTTCATAACATCAAAGCCACACACTATTATGGCTACCAATCTTTTCCTTAATATTGCATCATCACTGATCTGAATGTTAACTATATCTACAATGTAGATTGCTTCAAAGGCTAAACATACAACACATTCAGGCCTTGTTCACACCAAATGCAGAGCAGATCTGCATGAGTTTCTGCATATGCAGTGTAGTGGGTTGTGCCGCGTTTTTGATGCATTCTGGGCTGTTTTTAGTAAAACGGCCCGGAACGCCCAGAACAGGTAAAATAGGGCCTGCTGCAGTTTTTTTTTACCTGCTCTGGAACTGAATGCTGCAATGTGAACTGGAGCTAAAAATACCATTGGAATACATTGGACGCAGTTTTGCTCCGGTCTGCAACTGCTCTGCGCTTGGTGTGAACCAGGCCTCAGAGTCAAAACTTTTATTTTGAATGCACTAAATTGAGAACACCTGCTATGAAACCGAGCACAAAAGTCAAGACCATTTGCTAGGTTATCACAACTATTTCCAACATTACTGTTGGCTAATGTTACAGTGGTCCTGTAACTTCATAATAAGAATTAGGCTGCAAACTTAAATGAGTACATACTTAGAATAGTGTGATTGTAATTTGTACTTTTCTCAACTTGTTTAAAGGTTTTACATCCTCAACTGGTGGGTCGTGACCCAAAGGTGGGTCGCGACTCCATGTTCAGTGGGTTGATGCGTGCCTTCCACTTTTCCAGGTAAGAGGCTTTCTCAGTCTCTTCCTAGAGCAACAAAGTCAGTTCTCGCACCAAGCAGCATTCAAAACATGCTGTCTGGTGCCGAGTGTTAGCTTGAGGTAGGGTGGGCTGGAGCTATGGCCGTGAGGGAGTTCCATCCATAGGTGCATGGCTTACAGCTCCCTCTCATGCCCTGTAGAGGTGCCTGGATCGGAGTGACATCACATTCTTGCTCCCGGAACCTCTACAGGGCGCGAAATGGAGCAGTACAAGCAATGCACATATAGATGGAGCACCGTCACAGCACAGCAGTCCACACTGGACCCCAGGCTGAGGATCCACTCCAGTTCTCGAAAATTAGGAAGACTAAGTGCAGCTTAAAAAAAAAAGTTTGTATATGTGTGTGAGAATGTCTGAGTGTGTGAGATTGTGTCTGTGTTTATGTGTGTCAATCAGTGTTTTTGAGTATTAATTGCACAGTCTCGGGCGATTATTGCACTTCACCATGCAAACGCATCCACTGTGCGTTCTGTGGCGGGAGGTACGTTGCGCTGCCATTCATTTGAATAGTACCCCAAATGCATCTCCCACCCACAGTTCGATTGCCTGCACCAGAACGCGTAGTACCGCAATGCCGTGCGTTCCATTGCCGTGTGACTTGGGTCACGACTTAATGACCAAGGACAAATGTTACACAGGTTGAGAACCACTGTTTTACAGTATACATGTGAGGATTAAGACCCACTCTATTCGTAGTGAAACTAGCCACTTGTTCCATATACAATATGTTACTAAAGCAATGCAGGGATGTTCGGTTGTTACAATGTATGAATGGAACTGGGGTTCACCAAAAGCACACAAAAAAAAAAACAACATGACAAGTCTTTTTCCACTTCTGCACCTTGTCCTCTCTCTGAAGTCACTAACTACTCAGAAGAATATTAGTGCTCTAATGGTCTAATGTTTCCAGAACACTCCTTTCTACTGTATCCACAGGCAATCAATTATCAGGCAGAACTGCTTGATCATAACTCTAAAACTAAGCAGCCAATAGCGGAGGTCTTTGTAGGGGGGATTTACTTTTCATTGGAGCTCTATTATTTCAACTCATTTTAGTTCAGGATTACAATAGGGATGCACCGATACCACTACTAGTATTTTGTATGCCGAGTACGCATACTCGCCCAAATGCTCCCGATGCCTATCCTGATACCAGAATTTCCCGTCTCAGGAAGCCGGGCAGCGAGTCATTACACGCTGCCTGGCTTTCTGATTGGTCGGGAAGCTGGCTCCATGCTTTCTCGTCACCAGGGAGCATGGAGCTGGCTTCCCGGACCAATCATGAAGCCAGGGGGTGGGTAATGACTCTCCCCCCAGCTTCTTGATTGATCAGGAAGCTGGCCGGAAGACGGGTGGCGGTTATTGACTCACCCCCCAGCTTCCTGATTGATCAGGAAGCTGGCCAATCCGGAAGCTGGGCGGCGAGTCATTACCCTCCCCCTGGCTTCCTCATTGGCCAAAAAGCCGGCTCCATGCTTCCTCGTCACCTGGTGATGAGGTTGAACCTCAGGTATCGGAATTCAGTATCGGCGAGTACCGGAAAAAAATATTGGTACTCGTACGCGGTGCATCCCCATTTTACAATGTTAAAGTGACACTAAACTCAAGAGTTAAATCTCAAAAATGTATTAAAATACCATAAGGGCTAGTTCACACCAAACGCGTTCCAGGAGCAGAGCAGTTACAGACCGGATCAAAACTGCGTCCAATGTATTCCAATGGTATTTTAGCCCTATTTTACCTGCTCTGGAACGCATGCAAACGCATCAAAAACGCAGTGGGACGCACTGAAAGCGAATTTTAAACAAAGACGGCCTGGAACGCATCAAAAATGCGGCATAACACACTGCGTGTACAGAAACTAATGCAGATCTGGTCTGCATTTGGTGTGAACAAGTCCTGACTGTTAACAGAAATGTCTCTTATTAGCCACCCTCCAGAAGGAAGGACAGTGTCAGCACCAATTCAGAGATGATTTGAGGATCTACAGCCGAGAGATACACAAATAAACTACATTTTTGTTAATAGTTAAGGTACTTGAATGCATTTTTTTTTTAGATTTAACCTGGGTTTAGGGTCACTTTAACACTTGCAATGTTGCCTTTTTTTGTGCATGGTAAAGGTTGCTTACACTTCAGTGAACTGAAATATGGACAATAATAGAAGTTTATGATAAGGACTAGTATAAGTGTCTCTTTTGATACAAATATTTGTTACATTATACAAACACTGACATTGCCTTACTTCAAATATGCTAACATGCAGCACCCTTGTCTCAAAACAATGGAAACAAATGAAAATATTTTTGGTTCAACACCTATCTTAGATACAGTATAATATTAGGTAATAAAAATTAGTAGTACTGTACCATGTGTTTCACAGCTTTAGCAAGCAGTTGTCTCCCAGCTGGCTTGTCAAAGTCAGCAATAATCCAGATGGTGACTGCATAAATTACATTCTCATCTGAAAGTAACAAATAGCACAGGCTAAGCATTCCAGCGCTGGAATTATTAAAGCTACACAAAGTGTTTATTTCACATACCCAAAATAAAAATGCATTTACAAGCAACAGTTCACATCAGTTGCAGAAGGTTAGGGCAATAATAAGAGCAAGCTATTAACGAAAGTGATCAGATTATTAGAAAGAGTCGATACACATTCTTTGGATTCCAATCCATGCATTATTTTTGACCCTAGGCACAAATGAGCACTTAACCCTTACACAGGGAGGGGTAGCCCCATTGCAAGGATTAATAGCATTTTTACCCAGAGTAGTTCTTTAACTTCTTAGCACCCGCAATCTGTTTAATAACATTCCCGAAACATGCCCTGGTCTGAGTGTTTGTTATTAAACAACATTCCCTTTTTGTACAGTAAGCCAACACACACAAAAAATGTATGCCAAATTAAAGTCCTAAAAATAAGTCAACATATTTGGATATGCAAATTAGTTTTTCTGTGTTCACAGAAACACAGTCAGAGCTAAATTTAACCTGGGCATCTAGGCATCAATGACTTTTTTGTTAGGAAAGAGTTATGGTAGTGGGTTTTTTTTAAATACATGAAATAATAATTTTATAGATATATGTATTCAAGTCCGTTTTTGTTATATCTGGCCAACGTTCAGCTTTCAGGTTAGGAAGGTGGCGAGGATCAGTTTTAGAGACAGGTTATACTGAGTGTACCGATGTTTACAGTTAAAGTCACATTTGATTTTGGCACTCAAGGATCATTCTAGTCTAGAATATTCACTTCCCAATTTTAGGCATATACCCAAGTGGAAATGTATTTCCTGATTGTGAAAACCCTTGGTACTGAAACTTTGGTGCACCAGGCGTTCAGTATCTGACAGGCTGCAAGCAGCCTTTCATGGATTTGTCTGGAAATACTTCTCTGGTATTACAAACAGGCAATCATAAGAGATTCCCAAATAACTAGACTACTGACAACACAGAGTGAAGCAAACTAATGCTGTACAGAGATGCCTGCATGTAAACTGAAAGACCTTGGCAAGGAAAATGTGTTTTCTTTATGCCTTTTATGGCTTAATATTCAATTCTGACTGAAGTGTACCTTAAACAGCCACCGTTATCGTATCAGCTGCAACCATTGACACCACATTCTGAACATAAAGTTCTATTTTGTTGGTCATGTGTTCCTAGGGGTTATAGTTTTATATATTACCATGAGAGTAGCTTTTAAATGGATAAAAAAAAAAGAATGAAAAATTACCTTCTTTTGTTACATATTTCATTTTTTCAGAAACAACTGCACTTCTATCCTGAGAATCCAGGTATGAAAATATTTCAAAATCTTGAAAATTATATTTAACTGCAGGATAAACAGGAATATATAGTTAAGACATCTGTTTTTTTTCAGGGAACAGCAAATATTATTTATATATTTAATTTTAATATAAATATATATTT